TTGATGTGTATCGTTATAAAGATTTATTGATCTGGGGAGCCATACCGTTAGTGACGCAAACCCGCCGAAATAACCAAGTTGGGGAAAGGCAACTACTCCCAATAACAGTAGGCATTGCAGATTCAAAAAAGGATGCTTACGAGATAAATTCCTTTTCATGGCGTCTTAATTTAAGTTGATATGGCATCAATGCCGAGCCGTTTCGCAACTAGAAAAAGCTTTCTGTCAGAAGTTACAATTTTTGCCTGAGTTTCGCACGCATCAGCCATTATCAATAAGTCCGGAATTCCTCCCAGAAGACCAGTTCCTTTGGCCTTATTCAAAAGACTTAAACATGTCGTTGCATTGGGAAAAGCCGAAAGTTGCCGCAATCCAGATAATACATCTTGAACAATATGCGCGTCTTTTTTTCTAGTGCCCCTTAAAATCTCAAGTTTAACAGTTAAAGATAAAATAATTTGATTTTTTGAGAGCAAGACTTTGAATGCATCAGAGGGAGCGCCTCTAAAAAAATCAATAAAGACAGACGTGTCGACTAGGAACAATGAATTTTTGCTCATTCTTAAAGCCTGGTCCGTTCTCTATCTTGATCTGCATTAAACTCTATTTTTACTTTCCCATGAAGAGATAGAAACTTCTCACGCTTGTAACTACCAATCAACTCATTTAAAGCTTGAATCAAAGTATCGGTTTGGTTTGAGTTAGCAAGAGAACACGCTTCCTCTAAAAGTTTAGCAGGCAATATAGTGGAGATTTTCTTCATTTTTTTCATATATATAATATATATCAGTTTATATATATGAGCAAGTAACGTTTGAGAATCAGCTAAACAACACGGTTTAAGAAATGTTGCGTTATCCTAAACCTACAGTCTTTCAGGATGGATAGATATTAATAAACTTAGGTCTTATGGGCTTAAACGATTTCATTTTTGCGATAATTTACAGCCGGTGTTTTTGTTCTATGCCACGTTGGCACGAAGGTGTCATTTGATTCTGGAAAAGCATCGCTAATGTCTCCGGTATATTTAAGAGCTGCCTTTACCTTTTGGTTATTTCGGCGGGTTTGCGTCACTAACGGTATGGCTCCCCAGATCAATAAATCTTTATAACGATACACATCAA